TTTTTAAACTGTTTTCACTCACTTGTTGAGGCAAAAGGCCCCTAACAAAGCCATCACCCTCATGCTGCTGAAACACCATCAGCACTCTTCGCAGCAAACAGCAAGAGACAAGCACGAAGCCAACACAACATTTTAGTATTGATTTCTCTAAGAAATTCAAATCCCGCAGGGCATAAACATCAATTTAATCTGTATGCAACTACAAAATGGCCTCACTCGCAGTGCTCCTCATTTCAGCCAAAACACTGCTACAACTGGAATAGAAACACACTTAGGGGTGAAGGCAAAGGGGATTGGCAGAAAAAGTACCCCAACATTCCTAACAATTCTTAAATTTTGGAGACTACAATCACAGAAGCCAGTCAAACACAACCACCAGCAGAAAAACCTGCCTCACAGCCTGACACAAAGCCATCCTCAGAGTGACCCGAGGACCAGCAGCATCTAGCCTTGCCAAACCAGACAGCCACTTCTTCCTCCAACGGACCAACACTGCTGTGAAGGGACAGCCTCACGCCTCGCCTTCGGGTTTCTGTGCCTCCGCAGGACAACGTGAATGACGAAACATAAGCACTCCGCATTACACTAATTGATGTTTTCTGAGCTCCCCTCGGTTCCATCAGACTGCCCTCCCTGCAGACAGAGCACCACACATCATTACAACCTTCAGTCTGCTGAAAAGAGCATCGGAAGAAAACACCACCTGAAGAAAAAGGAAATTTGGCACCTTGGAGTTTGCCCTCACGTAATCTCAGACTGAGTTCTTCAGAAAATGTAAGTTCCCCCTGTAAACACTGAGAAGTCAGGGCCAGTGTGCTCTGACATTTCCCTTTTTTTCCTAGCATGGCAGGACTGCTGTTTTGTTGGAGACTGCATCCCACTGTATATCCAGTCAGAAAGACATACTTTCACACGTCTGAAACACAGGTAACATGCAGCATTAAAGAAAAAAAAAAAATAGCTCATTCTTACACCAGTGCAAAGCCACGGGCATGTCTGCATCACTACGGCCAGGACTTAAGGACCGAGTACAGTCAGTAGAATTCAGGGCACCAGCATTATTTGCAAGTGATGGATTTATGTACGTAACAAACTATAAATTACATAATAAACGCAGACGCAGGATTTTATGGACAAAGCTTGTGCTTGTAAAATTTGGCACCTTCTATCCATCTCCCCTTGCAGATGACAGTCAGGCGGCAGAATCAGGTTCCTCGAGGGATAAATGTGACGCGAACAGCACATCGGGCAATTGGAACACTATGGACCCACTGGTAAGCACAACAACACGAAGGCAGAAAGCCCTGTCCAAAGCCCACAGCTTCAACAGATACCCCACCCCAGATAATCAGCCTACCTATAAGGCAGGATTTATTAATTGCTGCTGCAGTCCCACAAAAGCTTATTTAACACAACCCTAGCACACACCTAACCCAGTATATATAGAAGCAGTGCTCAGATTACCACTGACATGAAGGTTTCTACACTGTGGACAAGCACATAATTTAAGTATCTATTGACTGCATGTGTAATCAACACCAGAACCCTTACCTATGTGATGTTTTCCTTCAACATACATAACATACATCAGGGCAATATTTACTTTACCCATTAGTGGGCAGGGGGTTAGATTTTCCTCCCAAGGATTATCAGGTTTGTGGGTCTCGACCAGAACAGCTTCACTAGATCCAAGCAAGGACCATCGCAACATTCTCCAGTCAGGGTCAATATGAATTTTAGGATTGCTTGGTCAGAAATAGAAGCAACTTTGAAGTGATCATCAAGATTATTAAAGTATATACTGGCAGATCAGTCTGAGCCACTGACAACTTTATAGCTGCTGTGATCACCTGTGTCACTGAGCTGCAGACACTGTCATTTCTCTGTAATGTTGCCATGGGTTTGACTTCAGAGAGTCCTCAAACCACACAGCAAGCATGTCTGTGTGTCTGGCCTCTGAACTCCAGTTGTGAGTTTAGCTTTCCAAAGGGGATGGCTGCAAGCAGAAGGAAGTGACAAAACAGAAGGTGTTTATGATACAATCAAAATCCAGGAAAATAAAGGCAAAGAACAGCAAACCGTCACCTTATCTACATGAATCTCTGAATCGGAGGATGTAAACAACAGGGACAGACCAAACTTCGCTTGTTTCTAGACCACAACGCTCTATCCACCCCTTAAGCAAAACAGGATACAGGGTGTTACTGAATGATTTCCCCCGAAATCTGATTGAGAAAGATTAGAGCAATTACAACAGAGTAACACACACTTTTAAAACCCTTAAATCACGATTAATGTAAGGTTTAACTTTTCTCCTAAGGATCATCTGGCGACTGTGTCATTTTCAAAACAAGGCTGATACACATCCCAGCCTCAAAGGAAAAAATCATGAGACAGAATCCCCTGCCCTCTACTGGCACATGAGCGTCACTGAAACCTGTGCACAGGCACAAACAGCATCGAAGAGATGCTTTAAGGGTTTTTTTAAAACTATTATTTGTGATATATATAAGATGTATAATGTACCAGACACATCAAACTGAGAACACAACCTCAGCTATACAAAACTCTTTCAGCATCACTGCCCTTCTTCCAGCAGAGCTGGCTCGACCAAGGATTCAAAATACTGCAAGATAATATATTCATTAACTGAAAGGAAATTCTAAGGGATTATCTAATGTTTGTCATGTTCACTGTGCATAACCAAGAACTCTCTATGACAGATTTTTATTTATTTATTTATACACAATTCTCTTCCACGTTCACTGTTGCTTTTACGATTACAGTTACCCAAACCGCATTTGGCCCAAGAATAGAGAAGCAGGTTCATGACTGACAAAATGATTTCCTAGCACCTTGCTGCCAGAGCTAGGGAAATTCTTAGCCAGGTTTCCGACTCACACCACTGCAAACCTCACAAACCTCACTGCACCACCCAAACCTCCGGACATCCTAGGGAAGCATTTGTTGGGACTGACCATGTCACTTCCATTTCTGTTACAGATCAATATAATAGGTGTCATCATATAACTGTGAATCTTTTAAGCAGTTATTACTGTATTCTCCCATTGGTGTAAACAGCAGCAACAAAAAAGCCAAGATTTACACTACTGTAATTATATTTCTGAATGTAAACCAGCTTGAGTCCTGGAAAAATTAAAGTAAATTCCCTGCATAAACAAGGCCTAAAAAGGAACTGAACAAACACAAGGGTCCTGACTGTATATTTCATCCAAAGATAAATAAGCCTTTAAATCACATTAAAAACACAACAAAACAAAAAAGCAGCCTGAAAAACAGCAGCTATTAAACAAGAGAAAGTCTGGTAATACCAGAGTAATTCTCACAAAGCTCATCCATATCCTGAAACAGGTTCCGAACACACCTTGTTTTCAGAGCTGTCACACAACAAATGCAGACGTAAGCCTGCCATCACTACACAAATAACAGAATATGACATTTAAATAATACCACTAAGGAAAAGTGGGAGATGCACATAGCCTACACTACGTACAGCAGTTCTTTTTTAAAGCAACTCATCTGTTAGTTACCAAATAGCTAAAAGACCCATTGGGATGCAACAAAACAAAAGCATGCAAGGTTCCAAGGAACCTACCAGGAACACAGCGTGATCACACCCATCTCCTTTTTACTGTAGACATCTCCACCATTAAAGAAAAAAAGGAATTTTTAAAGCTTATTAAGCCACATCCTCAAACTACTTTGCCTAAATGTATTTACAGATAATTTCTACCCATTTGTTTCTGTGTCAGAGTTGTCTGATAGCTTAAACCTCTCTTCTCACACTCTGGTGTTTGTCTAACTCCTGACATTTACAGAGTGCAGAAGTACCCTCTTCAGCCATAAGCTTTCTAGGCTATATAAGCCAAGCTCTTGGTGCAGCAGAATCTAAGAATAAAGGATAAACAGGTATTTTAAACACGATCTTTTTGAATCTCTGCCTGTCTCCATAAATAACCTCCCCAAATAAATATGGGTTCAAGTATATAAGAAAATATGTAACAGGAAAACCTTTACAGTGTAAATTTATGAGGTGGTGTTGCCAAGCCTTGTGATTTGTTCTAGTATCTCTATATTTTTTCAATTTTCAGCTCCTGGAGTTCTCTCTTAAAAAAAAAAAAAAAAAAAAAAAATCTATCCTTCATGATTATGGATAAAAGCCTGGAGGTAGGAGTCAAGCAACGGCTTGTAAAGGAAGAGGCCAAGATTGGCTTGTAAAGAATATGGTCAGAGTGTCAATAAAGCGATATGATTTTAAAAAATAAAATGTTGGTTAAAAACCCTCAAGATGAGTTAATTCAGTATTTTTTTGAGATGCCACTGGCTGAACACTGACAGAATACGCCAATAAAACATCTTACCAACTTGCCTGTTCTTTTTGCAGAATTGCACAGCTAGCAATGATCTGATCCCACTTCCATAGGTAAAATACTGGCTGATTTTGTTGCTCCAGTGTGCTAAAACCTATTCGTATTACAAATTCTGGACACGAAGGTTCTATTGCTTTCTAAATCACAAGACAGGGAAAGGTCTTCTGCTTTATTAACAGAAAACTGAGGTAAAGGAAGAGGTAAGTGACCAGCTTATTGCAGATCCAAGAACTGAACACAGATTTCAGATTTTCTGAGTTATGGCCTCCTGCTTTAGGCAGAAGGCTGGTCTTTTCACTTAACAAGCTATCGCCCAGACTCTAATTTGAAAATTGACAATGCCACTCAGTAACAATGAAACTGCAAGAATACTTGAAAAAAGAAGTCATCTTAAAGTTAAGCTATTGTTCCTTCTAAAGTTAATGTCTGCAAAAACCTGCCCCCGATACACTGTCAAAAATGTTTCCAGGAGGCTAATTTAGAATTCATACCAGTTTCTGTATCTGTCAGGCAGGACAAGAATCACAATCCTGACATTACTGTTGAGACTCCTATATTTGTGTTTGATCGCTAGTGCCATTAATTCTGACAGTTTTTCATCATACTTACTGACTTTATATCCCAGCTTTTCAGCATGAATCCTCTTGGCCATGAACTGCCCTTCAATCAACGCTCGTATTTCCACCTCCTTTGGAAAGCCTGAAACCTGTATCAAAAAGAAAACGCATTAAGTTAACGAGCACCTTACACGGTGTAGAGTGCTAAGCTGGAGGCTGGTTAAAAACACAAAACAGATTTATAGTTGATTATCTCTGTCTTCACCCTGAAGCCTGCTTTCAGCTGGGCCCAGTTCTTCACTCATACACACAAGATGGACCTTAAGAGTCACGACAAAAAACACAATCCCATAACCTCGGTGCTGATGGCAAATCCATCAAATCTGAAATCAATGCACGATGGGAAGAGGTTCTAGTGCAAGTTGTAAACTCTTCCCTATGCATTTCTCAGCACCAAAGGCTGATTGAGAATCAATATCTCAAAGATATAAAATTAAAGCAAGAAAGGCAACAGAAGTAGGAAAACATTGAACTCTTTCACAGAAAGATGAGTTTTTCCATGCACTACAGTAAGTGCCTACAACTTGTATAGCCGTTAGAGTGATCAAGCATTCATTTAAACAGCAAACAGTTAAGAGACTAGTGCTACACTGCAAACACAAGATAGTATCAATCTCTGTTCACCTAGGTGAGGTCTAATCGACTGGGAGTCATGATTCATCAAAGGGATCTGTTGAGTTTCAGTACCACCCAGAAAGCCACATGTTTAAACAACATCCATTCCTCAAAAGACGAAAAGAAAAAAGATACCGAGAACTTTTTTTTTCATAGCATAATTTCTATTTTAATTCCAATTGGACTTGTGCCTGTGTTTACTTGCATACCACTATATGCCTTGTAGACATGCAGGACAGTAAAATGGGGTCTTTACTTTACATACACATTTAAAGCAAGATGAAAGACAAAAATATTATAGCCCAAAATTTCAACACATCCTTATCTGTGTGTCTGAAATTTAGAAGACAGGGACTAAGTCATGTAAGTGCACTAAGCTCTCAATAAGCTTAAAGTTAATCCTGTTTCAAAAATAGTGTTGGTTTCAGTAAATCCACATTTTCCAGTAAAGGAAATATTTCCTCAGAAAAATACCATATAAGTTCTAGGTCAGACTTTGCACTGTAGATACTCTCAAACTACAGACTGAATACTTCCATATGAAAATCATCCCAGGGACTTGCATCAATAAATGAAACTTGAAAGCAAGTATTTTGAACCAAAAAAAAAAAAAAAAAAAAAGTAAAGCTTTCAAGCTTTGGCAGTACTCCTTCAAGGTTCAGGACAATAACTAGATTATCACTACCTTTTGGTTGTCTCTGTTGAATCTGTGAATCCCAAGTGCTTCAGGAGTAATCTCCATCACATCAAAGTAGAAACCTGCATCAAGGAACATTAGAGAGTGTCATGTTTGCTCCTAGCCTAAAGTTGGAATCTTATTTTAGCATGCAGCTAAAATGATAATAAATGTTTATCACGTATTTGGAAAGCTATTTGAGTCACCAGAGAGCCTGTCTCTTAACTAATTTCAGTCCACACATTTATCAAATTTAACTACTCTCAGTTTACAAAAATGTGGATCTTAAGCATGTCTGGCTCTAGGCATTCAAACAATATAATAAACAACAAGACAACAAAAGAGCTCACACATTCATCCACCAGAACATACACACATGCGAGTAACATATATAATATAATGTTATATGTTATCTAGAATGTATATCTTAGAAATAGTTTCAGTGGTCATATGCAAGTGTGGGGGGAAAAAAAAACCACCAAACCTGAAAAAAATGGTAAATTAGTAAGAAGGGTACAGGAATACTGGAACACTTCATGCACTGGATTAGATTTCATTAGCTTATTAGAGAACATCAGATATTTCAAGTCATGAAGCAGAGCTGGTCTCTGAATAGTTTTGATGAGGTCTGAAGAAATGCAGTAATGCTTTGTAGACAGCCAAACAGAAAGTGTGAAAAAGATTTCTTTTGTGTTGATGGTAAGAGCGAGTTTAAGTCAGGCTACAGGGAAAAAGAAAGGAAAAAAAAAAAAAAGGAAATGAGGACAGAAAAACTGAACAGAACAGCTGAGAAATTAAGGAGAGTTTCCAAGGCTCAGAACTTTAGAACAAGAGTAAGCTGTCCTAGCAGCACTACGAATATTAGCCAAGACCCAAAAATAGTACTGTGCTTTAGCACACACAGTCTTTTTGGTTAAACGTTCTGAAAACTTGCTAGTAAGCAACACAGCAGGTTACAGATCTGCAGGCCCTACCAAGGAACGTGTATCCCAAAATAGGACCCTGCCACCACCTTGAATCTGCCAGATGAGGTCATCATGTAAACCTGCTTTGTTAGCCTTCTCAGGTACCTCCCAGACACGAGAGGACCCTCACCTGTCCACCACTCCCCTTCCCTACTTGTTACCCCTGTTCCTCTCATTCTCCCAACCTTGCCCTAGCAGCTGCCTCTGCCCATCCCCAAACCTCCGCAGCCTTCAGCATCTTCTCACCCAACAGGGAATGCCAGGAAGAAGTGATAAAAGGGAAGGTGTCTAATCAGTTACCTCTTCGCTCCTCTTCCCTCAGGAACTCAGATTACCAATATTACTGTATTTTTACATGTGTACTCTATCTTCTAGTCCAGAGATTATCCAAGCATGCTGGTTATCAAGGGTGACTTTAACACCCATTTTTGTAGGGGACAGATATCCAGGTGAATATGCCACAATACTAATTTTAAAACTTTAAGGCAGTGTCATGGTATATCCCTGAAATCAGTAAAAATGCCTAAAGTGGCTGATTTGGGGATTTGGAATAATTTCTTCTGAAACACCTGAAGCGATTTATCTTCTAGTGAAAAGAGATTCCTGGTCATTTTAATACCCCAAAGAGACTGGATTTGACAAACAGAAATCAGGATTAACCTCACTGTGTCAAGAAACTGTATCTTAAATTCACTTCCCTAAGGAACAAAGTCTTCTATAGCTTAAATGTCTATATCAAGAAACTTTTCTACCTACAATTTTTTAATATCAATTTTAATCACATCAATTCAGATCTAGTACGATCACAATGATTTCAAATCCAGCTCTGCAATGGTTAATTCTTCATCTTGATGACATATATGCTCACCTTTGAACAACTTATTTCAGAGGTCTATATTGGAGCAGTGAAATGTTAAATTGTAGGAAAGAAAATAACAAAATTCAAACACATGGGTTTATGAATATTTTTTAAATATTTCCATCATCATTTTACTTTATGTCATTGACTGAGCATATTGTGGGAAAAACCAGGATGAAATGACTCTGTGACAGACACTGGGAAAAATGCAGGAAGTCTGGGCACCGTTTGATATTACTGCTTTGTGCACATGCACTCTGAATGATGTTTACAGATCAAAACCATTGAAGACTGAGAAAGAAATAGTACGGAGCTACTTAATTCATTTGGTTTGAGTCTTCAGCAAAAAGAAGCACATTAATGAAAGCCTCCTTCAGAAATTACTAGTTTTAAATATTTTACAGCTAAGACGCTACTAACACCCTTTCAATGACCAAAAGAGCTCCACAAATATAATTTTCTTATTTAGTGAATATTGAAGAAAAATAGTATCCTGACAGCCTACCACCAGAGCATTTCTAAGTACACTTTAGGAATTTCCCTTGCTCTAGATAACTTAATTCTTATCCTTTATCATGACCCAAGTAAAAAGTGGTACAACTCCCATAAAACCATGTGTCTAAGCAAACCCTGGAACTCCCAACCCTCATAAGGCTCATACCCACGTTTCCGTTGTTTCCAGCAACAGTAGATGATAAGATTTTGGAGAATTCATCCCAGGAGCCCGAAGCACAGTCATCTCTGATCTTCTCTCTCATCAGAGAGCCATTCTTAAAACTGAAATGCACAAACATACCATATGCATTTTCCAAACATTTGGCTCTAGATTTTTAAAGCAATTTGCTGATTTACTCAATATTGGAGTTTATTGTATCAGCTGAATACAGCTGGGCAAGCTAAAAGATACAATCATTTTTTCATTATGTAAAGAGATAGAGAGGGAGAAAACTAGATAAGAGAGAAAATAAATATTACAGGACGTGCAGCGCAGAGATGCTGGTATGTATCTCTCCAAAGAGTCAGCTCAGACCCAGTGTGGCAGGCCATGCTAAAACCAGGCTATCTCTGAACAGCTAAGACATCTCAGAGCTCCATGCACAGGAGCTGCAGTCCACTGCCTGACCTACGATGGTCTCCTGGAGCTCAAGGCACTACAGAACACATGGTACGCCCCGGTGGAAAAGCAGCGGGAGCTTTGATCATACTGGCCCTGGGCAGGTCCTGTAGCGCTGAGTTTCTGCAGCGTGCCAGCGCTCCCATAAAGGGCTTCAGCAGGGAAGGTGAATACTCACTTCGGGACTATCTGCAGATGAACCTACTAACTCCTTTAGAGAGAACTGTCCTGTATTGTAGGTGCAGAGGTAACTCTACCACGCGTTGTTAGAAGTACTCTGACACGACACTAAGATCACTCTGAGAGAACTCTGCAAGGAGAAGAAAAAAAAGCCTTTATGATTCCAGGAGCATGGTACCAGTATGGAGCCAGCACTTATGAGGCGTAGCTCTGTGCCAGAATCTGGCAGAGAAAAGCACCACAGCTGCATCTGCATGGTTCTGGTCCAGAACTAGTAAATCATGCTGTAAAATACACATCTGTTCAGTGTTTATGGTCTTTGCATCCTTTATGCAGTCACCTCCTTTGACTCCTCTGTGAACATAACACCCCTGCAAAATACTGCAGTATTGGACTCGGACTCAAAAGAAGTTTCAATACTCATCAGCATGGAGTTATCAGAACAACTCAGCAG